ATGAAATGAGTCAGACAGAGACAGAAAAAACAAAGCAGGAGTGACAATGTGCTTGCAATACAGGCCAAATAAAGCACACAAACAAAAAGTATTGCCTATGTCAGTGTGTGTGCAAACCGGGGACAACCTGAGGAAGCATTTCTTGAAGAATTTTATTCAGGGTGAGGGGTGTTAAATAATAGAAGCTGTGAAAACCCTCTTTGAAACCTGATGGGATTTTCAACCAGTTGGGTGAAGTATGGGCCTTTTCAAAGAAAAGTATTTGGACAAGATGATGCACCATTTAAGCCTCTTAGATTTTAGTGCTTTCAGTTTTTAGCCTAGCCCTAGAGCCAAGGTTTATAAACAGCTGTGCTCATGAAGCAACCTGAGGTGCCTCCTGAGAGACAGAAATGGGGAGACTCTGAAATTAGTACCTAAGGCAAAAAACCACATAATCAACATTATCCTTAAAAAGTACTTAAATCATTACTTAAACTCAAAAATCAGTAATTAGCCAAAAGAATGGAAAGCAGGGTCTCCAAGAGCTATGTGTACATCCATGTTCAAAGTAGTAGTATTCTCAGTAGCAAAGAAGTGGAAGCAACTCACATGTTCATTGACAGATGAATGGCTAAACAAAATGTGGTAGATATGTACGGTGGAATATTATTCAGCCTTAAAAAGAAAGGAAATTCTGATATATGCTACAATATGTATGAATCTGAAGACATTGTGCTAAGTGAAATAAGCCAGACGCAAAAATACAAATACTATATGATTCCACTAATTCGAGTAGTCAAATTCACAGAGACAGAAGGTGCAGTGGTGGTTTCCAGGGGCAGCAGAAGGGAGTAATGGGGAGTTGTTTAATGGGTATAGAGTTTCAGTTTTACAAGATGAAAAAGAGTTCAGGGGATTGGTTGCACATCAGTGTAAATGTGCTTAACACGCCTGAACTGTATACTTAAAAAAGGTTAAGATGGTAAATTTTGTTATGTGTATTTTATTGCAATGTTAAAAAGCCAACAATTAGCTTTTTGTGTTTATCTTTGTACATTTAACTTATAAAAATTCATCTAAAGGCAGGTGCCCCTTATTTAGCCCTGACCTTCCCCCTCCCCATTCAAACCACATCTTTGTCCCTATTGTCCCCAGAGAAGGGATTTAACCCTTTCCAAACACCTATATTTGAATTCATATGCAAGACTCTGCTACGTTGCCTCTCATTTCTTTCTTACTAGGCATATTTTATAGTAATGAAGGTCCTGTTGAGAAATGGGAAGAAGGGTTTGTTCCTAGACTACGCACAGTACTTAGATGTCACAGAAAATACTTTATGCAAGAACTGATGAAGTAAATTATGAGAGCTCCCATATTTCTACTTTTGAGCTATCAACACAAAAAAAACCTATTTGTCCTAACTCAGCATATTAATGGTTTGGGTAGAGTTGAATAAAAGTTGCATTTGCATTACTCACAAAGGGATTTCCAAGCAATGTAGTAGTAATGGCTTAAACAAAAAGACAAAGAGTACTGACCAATCTTTGAGAACCCTAACCCTGATTCTTACAAATTTTGGTTCACAAACAGTAAATATCCTATTATCTTGACATAAAAATGAATCCTTTATACTTGTAAAGAAAACTTTTAGGCGAAAAAATTTTAACTCTATTTAAGTTATATACAATCGAAAGAAAAATGGAGTTTCACACACTGCATGTTTATATCTCCTCAAAGCAGCCAGCAGTGCTTTGCCCCCAGGAAGCAGTCAATAAATGGTTATTGAATTTAGAATGTACTTCTTTCTAATCAGTGAGGTTTAACATATTTCCAATTCAGAATGTCTATTAATTCTTCAGCATTACTAAGCCTTTAAAAAATCCATTTTGGGATGTGTTTAAGAGTTCACAGCAATTATTATTATATAAATAATTAAGAAAAAACTGTTAAATGAAGCATGCTTAATCAACACACCAATAGCCATTGATAAAATGTAATTTAATTTAATCATTTAAATTTACATTGTTAATGTACAAGAGCATTTCTTTCAAACCATAGGTTAACACACACTAAAGAGCAATGCTGTTAGAAGAGCAGAGAAACTCTGGAAAATCTCTGCTGGCTGAAATAAAAGCAAGGCACTCTCCATTAACAGCTGGTGGGTTCCTGATTTCCACCCACAGAAGGCATGTTCACACCAAGAGAGCTCTCCCACAAGGGGAAGAATCACCTGCTTTGATTCTTTAATACTTGATGTCCTCTTCTGAGCTAGTACGGTCATTTACTCTGTATAAACTTGTGTGTCAACATTAATACAAAAAAAGAGAATTGAATTGATAGATGACTTGGGAGGCCCTCATAGTTGAAATAACTATGGAAGACAGAAAAACTCTGGCTATACTCTTTATTTTCAGCCCTAGTGTCTGGACCTATAACTAAAAAAGCTTCTTCATTCCTTCCAACCAATAGATATGACAGCTAAAAAGTCTTTTCCTCAAATTAGGTGGGTGTAAAAGTAAAAAGTAACAGCATTTCTCTAGGGCTCTCTTTCATTTTTGTTGTTTTGTTTTTCCTTTACAGACATGACAAAAAACAAGAATTAATTTTCCAAATACTAAGGGTGCCCAAGAAGGTTATGCATACACAGTATTTCTAATTTATTCAAATTCAATTTGAATTTGGTCTGAAACTATCTTGAATGAAATGTTAGCTTTCCTGATATTTAATAATGTTTATGATGTTTGCATACAAGCTCAAAAAATTAATGCAAAAGTACTACTTTACTCATGGTTATCTTCAGGTAGAGCGTAAATATTAGTGGTTATGTTTAGAAGCCTGTTTTCGTACAGATGCAATAAGTTGAGAAAAAAAAGACTATGGAAAGATGAGTTAGGTCTTAGTCTTAATTCTGTTACTGTTTGAACTTGGGTTACTCTTTACCCTTCAATGAGCCCCATTTTTCTCCTCTATGAATTTCAGGGGTTTGGACTAGTTGACAAGTCAGGCCCCTTCCAAGTTTAGCATTTCAAAATCCTAACATTCCAGGTCCTGTCATCTTGATATAAAAATAATAATCTTTCATAAAAGCTCAGACAAACATAATACATGATCAAATATCAGAATGACTAGGGAAAAAAACATATATGATTTGCCATCTGGGTTATACTTTGCAGCAATTAGGCAATTCATTTGGCATTTGTTTGATTGTATAATTTAATGACAATATAAACAGCATAGTTTTGTTATTTTTTCATTTAAAAAGACTAAAGCAAAAATGATTTAAAGCTAACAAAAGCTACTGTGACATCAGTTTGACATTCAAAGTTTGTTTCTTAGCAAAATGGCCAAAGATATTTTGACTTGATATAGAGTATATAATATAAAGACTTTTAGACCTAAAAATCTCCAAACATTATTTGAATTTAGCAAAACATAAGCAAAATTTTAATATCAAAGTGCTAAACAGTACTGCCTTAAAAGTCACTGCAAATGAACCATAAAATAACGGCATGGGAAGTGACATTTATTGTACAAATGGTTAATAAAAAGACACATTATAAATATATATATGTAACCTGCTATATTTATATATATATATATATATTTGTGTATTTAATTTCTAATTGGTGTATCCAAGTCACTGTGAACACCCCATTTAATTACTCTAACTCAGCTTCTAGGAGCTGGTGGTCTTGCAATAAATACAGGCAAAGCTATTACAATATAACGTGCATACAAATGTTTATACAAATAAGGACACTATGCAACAAATTCTCTCATAATAATATGGCATTAACAGTATAAACATACAAAAGGGAGTAGGAACAAGGAATGTTGAAATGCAGCCCACTAATCCTTTCTAGTACTCACATTCATACTATTTATTTTGAAGAAGACTTGCTTGCTCTCCAAAATTGTCTTTTTAAGCAATAACAAAAATGAAATTATATTCATAAAAATCCTTATTAGCCCTGGTGCTTACCCTGCATGACCCAGTTCCTACTTATTTGCGTGTTCTCATTTAGGGATCAAATACTTGACTGACTCACCCAACCCTCCTGGGGCTTCTGAATGAATGTATCAGTCAGTTGCTAGGACCGAACCAAGTTTAAGGAACTCTGGCGGGGTTGACAGAACACAACTGAAACAGTTGTGTGAAATCCATTTTATAATCTGATCCTCCTTCAGGACTGCTGGACAGTCAGGGCAGGGATCTGGTTCCGTGAAGAATGGCCTAAAAGTCTTGGATGGGCCATACCTCAGAAGGGTTCTACAGGTCAGGTGGACCAAGCCTCTGGTAGGAAAATTAACATGTGTCATTTGCTAACATGACTGCCTCCTTTTTTATTTTCATATAAAATAAAGGAGAATTAATCAACAAGACTTAGTAAGACAGCACTTTAAAAAATTGCACTTGTATATGGAAGCGAACAGCCGTTATCGTTTTGCTATGTCTGATTTGTAGGAAATCCTACATCTTTTACCATTTGTTAAAATAAAATAAAGGAAGAAAGAAATTAAGAAAAGAGAATTTCTGCCTTGTTTGCACCACATACGTACCCTTGATATAGGAAGCGTATTCTAAAAGGATCAATCTTAAGACATATCCTACCCGGGCAAGCAACCCGTGGTTGTTCTTGTTAAATACAAAGTAACTATAACTGTATTCTCCAGAAAGAGTTTTAAAACAGTTATAATATCCTTTCTTTTTCCCCTGCTGGGATAGCATCGTCCAAAAGTGCCTTGTTAGCAGTTTCTTAGAAAACCCTCATGAACTATACCCCCTCCTACCCTACCCCCCAAAGCCTAAATATAAAACACAATCCCAACACAATACTCTGCAAGTTTTCTGACTTCATGTTATAAGGAAAAGTGCCAGAAAAAGTCTTTGCTTTCTACAGGAGCTGTTGTTTCTCTCAAGGAAGTACAGAAAACGGTAGGTGTCCAGGCCTACCCCTTTGCTGCTTAGCAAGCAGGTGCTAGCAGAAGAGGCGGCTCCCTGCTTGGGCTGCTCCTGCTTAGAAAGGTAGGGTGTCCAGGAAGAGCTTGTCGATGATGGAAGGTGGAGACACCAAGTCTTCCAGCTTCAGATAGAAGATGCGCTGGAGGCCCAGGGTGCAGATCTTCCTCAGTTCTACCAGGGCACCCCGGACCTTGGACTCGGTAGGCTCCAGAGCCTGTCCCTTACTCTGGTGGTCTTTTAAACTGCTTGTGATCTTGCTGCATAGCTCCTCCACTCTCTTTGGTTCTTTTAACCCATGTCGTTCTGCAGAGGGATAGAAAAGGGCATGTTTAGGAGGCAGATACATCTTAAGATACTTCAAATCGCTAAGTGAGGTCTGAGTCCTGATTTACCCATTGGATGGCATTTTTCAAAGTGCTCTCTCTCCTAGTGGTAGTTCATAGCCTTTGGTATCAACACCAGGGTTTGAATCCCAGTCCTGTCGTGCTAAGTGAGGTCTGAGTCCTGATTTACCCATTGGATGGCATTTTTCAAAGTGCCCTTTCTCCTAGTGGTAGTTCATAGCCTTTGGTATCAACACCAGGGTTTGAATCCCAGTCCTGTCGCTTACTTGCTGTGTGCCCTTGTCTCTTAACTTCTCAGCCCCCGATTCCTTATGAGATGAAGATAATGATCATACCCAATTCAGGTTTCTGGGAGGGCCAACTTAGGACAACACCACAAGTGAAGTACAGTTGCTGGCACAAAGCTGCACTGAATGAATAACAGGTGGTTATTATTTTGCATACAGTATCCTACCACGGTCTCACAAAAGCCCTGTTAGTAGGCAACTCCTTTTCAGAGTAACACGGAAACACCTCCAGGCAAATTAATTAATGTTCATATCTTCACAGTCTCACTTGAGAGGAGGCTGTAAATTCTATTTGCTTATGCAGAGACTGCCCAGCAAGACCCAATACAAAGTGCATTCTTGTGTTTTCATGCTAACCAGCATTTAGAAGAATCCAGCTTTTATTTTCCTTGTACTCTCCCCTCCCCCCCCCGCCCTCGAAATATCTATTGACCTACACCTGGCACTCTATACAAAATACACATGTCCTATTGCTGTGGAGAGGGAAAAGCCAAAGAGAAGGGAGAAGGCCCAGCAGGATGTGGTGCAGGTATTTTACAATGTACCAAGACATGAATATCAGTATCTTATATTTTTAAAAACACTATATAAAATGATCCCTTTGTTAAATGTTATGATATATTCTATGCATAAGGTTAAATGATTTTCCCAAAGTCACACAGCTGCTGGGATTGAAACCCAGTCTTCTGTCCTCTCGTTCCAGAACAATGTTGCATCTCCCTGAGATGAGAAAGAAGCCTGACATCCAATACAAATCACATTGCTTGCTCTCAACATTTAGATGTCTGAGCCTCTTTTTTAAGGGAAGAGCTTGGCCCCAGTTATCTGAAAGTTTTCCTCTCTCTTTATATTCACATGTAAAATTATAATTCTTGAGAGATGGAAGACATCTTTCAAATGGGAAATCAAGCCTTAGTTTCTAATCTTTCCTGAATTAATTTTTTTTAGTTGGGAATATTTTCATTAGAAAAGTTATTTCCTTGAAGCAAAAGCCAATCAGAAAGATGAAGCAGCTATCCAGACATTTTGTCTGTCCTTGTCCCAAATAAAAGAGACCTGGGAACCAGGAAATCTGCATTCTCCCCAGCTTGGCTGGTTGTGTACGCCCTGGGCAAGTTCCTTCCTCTCTAGGGTCCTATAAAGGGAATTGGATTAAATGACTTCTAAGATCCCTTCCAGCTCTGATATGTTATAATTATATTTAAAGTACAATCATGAAAATTGCCAGAAGCATCTCAGTGGGTTGTAACCTGCAGGTGTCTCATCTTAACGTCACAATTCCGTAGAGAAAGGGGCACTGGACTTTGAGTTAGACATGAATTCCAGTTTTGGTTCTGTCACTTACTGGCTGTATGACCTAATCTCCCTAAGGCTCAATGTCTTCATAGGAAAATGGGGATTACTGGGTGGTAGATACACAAATCCTTGTTGTAATTTTCCTGTGTATCTTAAATATTACACAATAAATTAAAAGAAAAACTATAATTATAATAAAACCCACCACCATGGGTTGTTATGAGGCTCAACTAAAATTATGTTATATGAAAGCGTTTTGTCAGCTGTAAAGTGCTACACACCTGGTATAGTCAGCACCGAAGACAATGCCTAGCACTTGGCAAGTGGCTGGCAACTGCAAGGTTGAACAAAAGGCAATAGAGATCCCTAATTTCCAAACTCTGCAGTACATGATTTTGCTTTTCCCAGGAAACTATTACTAATCAGCCCAGGTGCAAACCTGTCCCCTGTGGCTTATCTTTATCAAGTATGTAGTCTCTGTGTTTCAGTCTCAGAAGAAGCACCCAAGAGTGAACTTGAAGAGAAATCCTGTCTGCAGTACTGTTCTGCCTAAAGTTTTATTTTCCCCCCAAAGCAAAAAAGTGGGTTGCAAGTTTGGTAGTAAACTGCAAGAGATATAAAAATGTTCATAGCCTCTGACCAAGTACTTCTACTCTTGGGAATTTATCCAAAGGAAAAATTACACAGAAGAATAAAACTGTATGCATGGAGATATTTGGTGTAGCATTACCTATTACTGGAAAAGAACAACAACAACAACAACAACAACATCAACAAAAACTCCAAAACCCAAAAAACAAAAACAAACAAACAAAACACTGGAAAAAGATAAAGGGTTAGGGAATGGAGGAACAGTTAAGTAAACACTGGTACGTCCATATCATGGAAGATTGTGTAGGCATCAAAAAGATCAAATACAAAGACTGTGAAGAAACATGGAAAAATATTTATAATATTAAATAAAGAGTAGAATATTAAGTAGTATCTAAGATATAATTACATCTATACAAAACTTACTTCAACATATAGAGAAGGGTGAAAGGAAACAAAATAGTAAAAATATTTATGGGGTCATCAGATAACATTTTTCCTTTCTTTTAAAAATTCCATGTTAGTGCTATTTGTATAATAATGCTAAAAGATGGCATTTGGTCCTTTTTGAAGCCCCCTAGTAACTATGACATGTTCAAACATCATCTTGCTGATACTAAATTCTATTAATGCTGAGATATGTGAAATTAGCTTCTTAACCTAGGGAGAGATGTTTTTCTTAGAACGAGATACCAATCCATTGATTTAAGCTTTCCCTTCCTTTCAGTCTTACATAATATTCAAGATCCCATATTCATTATCAGTATAAAGAAACTGAGCAATGTGTTGGCTGGAATTCGGGAGGGGGTTGATTGCAGAACCTTGTAACCAGACTTTATGGCCAAACTCACAGAAGGTGCCATGGAGTTTTTCCTGCTCTCCAACCAGTTGCGACTGCTCGATAACTATGGCAACCATTATTTATTCAGTGAATTCAAGTGGAGATCGATACCTCCTGCCAGCTGGATCAACCCTAGGCCTGGAATTCCCTGAGGAATTCAGAGACACTCCTGTTAGAAGCCAAAGGCACCTCAACCCTTCTTTGTTATTTTGAACAGCCACTGGATTTGTGGCTTCTTTACTTTTTCAAAAGGGCTGAGATAAAATTCAGTCTCCATGCAAACTACTGCCAGCAGCCAGCAAGATTTTCAAATCGCTAGGGAGTCACTAAGTGTCTGGGACCTTCCAAGTAATTTAAAATTCCTTAAAACCCGAATCACTGACATCTTAGTTGTAGGGACCCCCTTTCTTCTTGCTGCTTGGTAAACATGGCTGCAGAGCGCATATACCGAGAGTTCATAAATTCTGGGGGAAATCAGACATTTAGATTTTCTTCCTTCCTAGAGAATTATATACAGAAGATTAAGATCTTTGTCCACCATTAAACAAAACAAGCTTCTCGGTATTTCTTGCATTTTGATCTACATAATTTTTATCCGATACTTCAATATTTTAATTCAGGAATTATGTATTCAAAGCTTTAAAATACAACCTACAGAAATGGTTAAGCAATACATTTATGTATCATAATCATTGTACATATGAAGTAGAAGAGATTTGAGTCATTTAGTTCAAATTCCCACCTAACACAAGAATCTCCACTATAAACTACCACAAAGAGAATATCAGGCACCAGCTGAACTGGGAGTTCACTATTTCTATTTATGTATCATAATCATTGTACATATGAAGTAGAAGAGATTTGAGTCATTTAGTTCAAATTCCCACCTAACACAAGAATGTCCACTATAAACTACCACAAAGAGAATATCAGGCACCAGCTGAACTGGGAGTTCACTATTTCACCCTGATAATGAAAATACTGTATATTTAATAGTACTCTATATTACTCTTTTACTTAGATTATTTTATTTCAGTCTCATAACAACACGGTGAATTAGATAGGACAAAGATTATCTTTAATTAATAGATAAGGAGGCCGAGGCTCGGAGGGTTAAATGACTGGGCCACTGTCAAAGTTAGCAAGTGGCTTATTTCTTTCACTCCAAGTCCACAGATATTTTCATTATACCAGGCTGCCTTCCATCCTTGAACATCTCTAATTGTTAGAAAGTTCCTCCTCATCCCGATATGAACTAACCACCCTATAACTCCCTCCCACTTTCTGTGTACCTAATTAGCTAATTGATTAATTCCTTCTTTCAACAAATATTTATTAAGTACCTATTCTGTGGCCAGCAATGTTATAGCCACTGGGGTTAGAGCAATGAACAAAACAGATATACAACAGATCATACTCCTAGCCTATGTGTGATGTTAACATCTAAAAGATACTGTTGGATTCCCGTGCATTTTAGATACCCATGCCATACACATCTCTGCTGAGAGGCAGAGGATGAAAGGGAGGGGGGAGAAAGAGGAGGGGGGTGGAGAGATCAAAAGAGTGAAGTAATAGAGCTGTTTAGGTCTGGGTTCATGTGTTTCCATCTTCACCCTGTTAAGATCTACTCATCCTTTGGATCTCGGACCAAATATCTCTTCAAGAAAGTTTCTCTGTTTACCACCAGTCTAGACCACTTCTCCTATAGCACTCTATTCTTTCCCTTCACAGGACATAACAGTTTGAAATCAGATATTTATGTGATGATTCCCTGCCTCCTCCATGAAATGTAAGCTCCATGGAGGCATGGACTGTATTTGCTCACCACTGTATCTCCAGTACCAAGCCTAGTATGTGGGAGATATCCAGTAAATATCTGTTAAATGAATACATAAATGCAAGATGAAGGACCTGTAAAAAAGTGATTAAACAAATACTAAAGGT